GTCTGCGCCATCAGCACGATTTTGGCCATATTGATTGTAAAACTATTACGTTTCTTGTATAAATATTTAAAAGGAAAATTGTAATAAAGAAAATCGTTGCTGAATTGTTCAATTAAAGACCTTTTCATATCTCCTTCCACGTTGTTATTATTGAATTTTGCAAAATTTGTTCATCGGGCGCAGACCAGGCGCAGACCAATCAAAATACATTGTAAATTGCAACTTAAATCTGAACATCTAACTTGTGGTTGAGACCAGGCTTGCCTGTCATGCGTAAGTGTTTGCTGAGAATTTGGAAAATATTTTGATTGATATGCGCCTGGTCTGTGCAATTAGAACGTTTTTCAAATCTACTGTATAATAGATAGTTTATTGTACTAATAAATGTTTACAATCAAAAACGGTCCTCAAATATTTAGCGCAAAACTCTTTTGCATATGTATTTGAATGTTGGTAATAATAATTTGATAAAAATTCACCCACGGGGCGTGTACCAGGCGCAGACCAGGCGCAAACCAGGCGCAGATCAATTAAATTGCATTGTTTGTAAAGCAGTGGCGTTGGGTAGGTACGCTCAATGGAAAGAGAGCTGTTGTTAAGCTCTGGCTCGTACTGCTGTAAGGTGCTGTTTTCCATGGCAGCTGATTTTGATTACTAGGTGAAGGATCAAATAACCATTGAGTCATTGAGGCCATTTCAGCCTTGTGTTTTATTTGTCAGCCTCATGAATCAAACTTCTGCTACTGCTGCGACCTAAATGCGAAAACCAGAACCAGCAGTCTGAGCATTGAAGACTGAAAAGGCAGTATAAATTAATTTATGTAATGAAAAACATGTAAATTAAAGCAAAAAATATATATCTAAAAACACATCAAGATGATTGAATTGAATAGTGGTCGCCTGTCAGTCGCGCCAATGATTTGGAAATATTTTAATAAAACCTTGGACCTTAGCCTACTAGTTGCTACTCTCTATTCATTCATAAGAAGGTGGCGGCACTGTTCACTCACTCACTGTTATGTTACCATTGGATTCTGATGACAATGACTCGTCAATCCTGCCAACTCTCAATTAAATGCAGACTTTATTTATTTATATTGTTTGTCAGTGAGTGGTTAATAAACTTAATATAATAATTGCGATTCAAACAAACAAATTGAATATTCAGTGAGCTGGCTCTCACGCCGTCACCAAAGCCGCAACAAGATTCCAGGTGTGATTGCCATGGGCTCTAGTCCAGGCAAATTTAACACCAAAGCCCGCATTTCCAAACCAAGTGCACTCTTCAGTTGGCTCATCCAACTGAAAGCACGTAGAAAACACCAGCCCGGCCAGAAAAAACATCACATCCCGACCACAATGATATTCAAATCCAACTGTCCCACCATAACATATATTGCCTCCAAAAGACTACAAGTTCTCACTACAAGTTCTCACAAAGACTTGGAACCTGTAACACAAATTTCAACTAAAGCACAGCTGAACTGAACAGTGCGATTTCAGTTGCAAAAAGTCATGGGTGACAATGTGTGTGTGTGTGTGCTGATTTCACCAGAAGCAATAAAGTAACTTTTTGCTGGGCACCCAAGGGCACAGACCACCTGGTCACTTACTTACTGCAATTCCAAAACCCTGCAGCCACTGGAAAATGTAAAAATTGTAGCCTGTTCACCTGAAGGCTTGCTGCACTGCACTCTTCAATTCAACTACCGCCCTTTGTACAGAAAGAACTTGGCACCTTTCAAAATCCTGCATTACTGCAGCCAAGTTGTGATGGAGAAAAAATGATTGGTGTAAAAAGGAGTTAAGAAGTACATAATTCTGCGTGAATTAAATATTTCTAGACTACTGCTGTCTGTTCTATTTAATTTTTGTTCTATTAGACAATGTTTAAACTAACCGCTCCGTCTGGCACAGGTTGGGCACGACCACAATTTTGGCAACCTTGCTGGGCGTCTGAATCTGTGCAAGTGCTTTTTGTTCTATAAAATGTCTTACAGTACATGAATTGTATTTCAACCAAATTCAGCCATGATACCTCTCAAAACCCCAATCAAACGCAAACAAACACAAGGCGAGAGAATGACTGATTCCTTCATTCATGGTAAACCCTTAACAATTTACAAGCGCTTGGAACTCCGCAACTCATTCCTAAATCATCAGTTTGAACGAAAGTCTGACAATCATGTGTGCAACATGCCTGAATGCAAGTGAAGAGATGCTGCTTGCTTCAAAAAAGGGACACTTGGCAGGCTCACAAATCGAAAGCCACTGCGTTGGCCAAGTAGCGAGCCGAGCAAGTACAACAATTTTAAAACGATGAGTGCACGGATTCAAACACTCACCGCTCACTCACTCACCACTCGAGTATAGCAAACTGATGGTGAAAAAAATCATATGCCTTTGCCAGCAGGGGCAAGACCAAAATGAAACCAAACAAATACAGAATCTATTAAATTCCAGTCGTGCAGGGATGAAGATCTGATCTAAAGATGATTAGTTGTGCTGGTGATTCGTGCGTGGGGTGTGCTGGTTATCCTGCGCAGTCAGTTGCCTGCCATGATTGAGTCAGTGAGTTTACTGAAGCGAAACGCACAGACTCACAATCTGAAACCGACCATTGGCTCAAAAACCAAGTGTCATTTCAAGGCGCAAACCTACAACAATCATAGTCCAGTTGCATACATGAAAATCAAACACCTTTTGAACACCGAACCAACTAATTATATACTAATTACGCAAACAAGTCGAAAGAATTAAGTTGATTTGAGCTGAGCATTTCCAGCAGGGCCCAGCCAAATAGAGCAAAATCATGGCAAGTCCACGCCTTGGCCATTGGGAAAAATCAATCATCCAAACCCAATGTAGTTGGTTGCTATCAAGACAAGCTGCATGAGTGAAAACAGGACCATACCGGACTACTGCTAGGCTACTGCTACTACGACTGTACTAGCTGCCAGTGCAAACGTAAACATGACTCTGGACCAGGACTCTTACTAACTAACGACATGAGTCGGCTAGCTCCCAGACTGTCGGAGGCTCCAGCTTGCAAACTCACTCAACAACGTCATGTCGTTTTTTTCCATGGACTGGACTGCTGATCGAATCGCTTCCTGAAGGTTAGCCCGGCCAATTCAGTGATTGTCCGACAATAAAACTATTATACAACCAAATTAAACAGTTCAATGCAAGGCCAGGCGCTGCAACAGCAACCTCAACCTAGACTAAGTCCGGCCTACTGTGAACCTCGACCTGCTGGCT